CTTTTGGGTTCTTGGTCAGAAATCCTTGCCTAAGCCAATATCTACAAGGGTTTTACCGCTGTTATCTTCTAGAATGTTTACAGTATCTGCTCTTAGATTGAAGTCCTCAATCCATCTTGGGTTGATTTTTGTATAAGGTGAGAGATGATGATCTAGTTTCATTAGGGCTATGAACTTTTCTCTTACCACCGCCTTTACTGTATCCCAGAGGTTTTGACAGGTTCTATCATTCTTGTCATTCAGTTCAAAGAATTTTTAAATTTCCATCTTGATTTTGTCTTTGAGCCAATGCTCATTCAGTAGCATGTTATTTAATTTCTATGTATTTACGTGGTTTTGAAGGTTCCTTTTGGAGTGGATTTTCAGTTTTATTCCACTGTGGTGTGAGAGAGTGCTTGATATAATTTCAGTTTTCTTAAATTTATTGAGGCTCATTTTATGGCCTATCATATCATCTATCTTGGAAAAAGTTCCATATGCTACTAAATAGAGTATATATTCTGTGGTTGTTGGATAAAATGTTCTGTATATATCTGGTAGATCCATTTCTTCCAAGGTATAGTTTAACTCCACTGTGTCTCTGTTGACTTTCTGTTTTGATGACCTGTCTAGTGCTGTCAGTGTGAGTATTGAAGTCCCCCACTATTATTGTGCTGCTGTCTGTCTCATTTCTTAGGCCTATTAGTAATTGTTGTAATAAATTTGGGAGCTCCAGTGTTAGGTGCACATATGTTGAGGATTGTGATACTTTCTGTTGGACGAGGCCTTTTACCATTATATATTGTCCTTCTTTGCCCTTTTAACTGCTGTTGTTTTAAAGTTTGGTTTGTCTTATGTAAGAATAGCTACCCCTGCTCACTTGGTGTCCACTTGTATGAAATACGTTTTTCCACCCCTTTACTTTATGTGAGTCCTTATATGTTAAGTGAGCTTCCTGAAGGCAGCAGATAGTTGGTTGATGAGTTCTTATCTATTCTGAGGGTCTGTATCTTTTAAGTGGAGCATTTAGGCCATTTGCATTCAGTATTAAAGGTACCATTGCTTTCATCATGCTCTTTGTTGCCTGTGTACTTGACTTTTTTGGTTTTGGTTTTTGCTTTTTAACTTGTATTTTTGTTTTATAGGTCCTGTGTGATTTATGCTTTAAAGAGGTTCTGTGTTGTTGTGTTTCCAGGATTTGTTCCAGGATTTAGAGCTCCTTTTAGCAGTTCTTGTAGTGGCGGTTTGGCAATGGCAAATTCTCTCAGCATTTGTTTTCTGAAAATGACTGTATCTTTTCTTCGTATGTGATGCTTAGTTTCACTGGATACACAATTCTTGGCTGATAATTGTTTTGTTTAAGGAGGCTGAAAATAGGGCCTCAATCCCTTCTAGCTTACAGGGTCTCTGCTGAGAAATCTGCTGTTAATCTCATAGATTTTCCTTTATAGTTACCTATAGTTGTCTCATAGCTCCTGATTCTTTCCTTCGTTTAAACTTCGGATAACCTGATGACAATGTGCCTAGGTGAAGATCTTTTTACAATGAATTTCCCAGGTGTTCCTTATGCCTCTTGCATTTGGCTGCCTAGGTCTCTTACAAGGCTGGGAAAGTTACCCTCAATTATTCCACCAAATATGTTTTCCAGGCTTTTAGAATTCTCTTATTCCTCAGGTTTGGTCATTTAACATAAATTCATGTAAAAATACATAAATTTTCCTTAGGTTTGGTCATTTAACATAATCCCAGACTTCTTGGAGCCTTTGTTCATATTTTTTTCTTTTTTTTTTTTTTTTGTCTTTGCTCAATTGAGTTAATTCAAACACCTTGTCTTTGAGCTCTGAATTTTTCATCTATTTGTTCAATCCTATTGCTGAGACTTGCCAAAGCATTTCACATTTCTAAAAGTGTGTTCAAAGTTTCCTGAATTTTTTATTGTTTTTTCTTTAAGCTATCTATTTCCACGAGTATTTCTCCCTTCACTCCTTTTATCGTTTTTTGGATTCCCTTGCATTGGGCTTTGCCTTTGTCTGGGACATCCCTGTTTAGCTTGATAACTAACCTCCTGAATTCTTTTTCAGGTAAATCAGTGATTTCTTCTTGGTTTGGATCTATTGCTAGTGAACTAATGTGATTTTTGGGAGGTGTTGAACAGCCTCGTTTTGTCATGTTACGGGGGCTGGTTTTCTGGTTCCTTCTCATTTGGGTAGGCTCTGTCAGAGGGAAGGACTAGGGCTGAAAGCTATTGTTCAGATTCTTTTGCCACGGGGTGTTCCCTTAATGTAGTACTTTCCCGCCTTTCCTACGGCTGTGGCTTTCTGTGAGTCAAACTACAGTGATTGTGATCTCTCTTCTGGGTCTAGCCACCCGGCAAGTTTACCTGCCCCCTGGCTGGTACTGGGCGTTGTCTGCACAGAGTCCTGTGATGTGACCCATCTATGGGTCTCTCAACTGTGGATACCAGTGCCTGTTCTGGTGGAGGTGGCAGAGGGTGCAGTGGATTCCATCAGGATCCTTAGCTTTGGTGATTTAATGCTTTATCTTTGTGCTGATTGGCCTCCTATGCAGAGGTAGCATTTTCTAAAGAGCATCAGCTATAGTAGAGTGGAGAGGCACCAGAGGTGAGCGGGGCCCTAGAGCTCCCAAGATTATATGCCCTTTGTTTTCCACTACCTGGGTGGATATGGAAGGACCATCAGGTGAGGGCGGGGCTAGGCAAGTCTAAGCTCAGACTCTTTTTGGGCGGGTCTTGATGCAGCTGCTTTGGGGGACAGGGGTGAAATTCCCAGGTCACTGGAGTTGTGTACCTAGGAGGATTATGACTGCCTCTGCTGAGTCATGCAGGTTGTCAGGGAACTTGGGGAAAGCTGGCAATCACAGGCCTCACCAGCTCCCAGGCAAACTGAAGGGCCAGTCTCTCTCCCACCATGGCCCCTCCAGCAGCCCCAGTCTGTTTCCAGGTGGAGCGTGAGATGGGCTTCAAAATTTGCCCAGGGCTATCTGCTTCCCAGCTGGAAAAAAAAAGGGCTTTAGTTTTCCACCACCTGTGAAGTCTATACACCTGATTTGCTCCCTCCCCCAAGTTCTAGTGAGGAGGCTTCTTGCCTGGTTCAAATTGTGTCAGAGTTCAGCTAGAGATTCCTTCTCCCTGCGGAGTTTTAGCCCCTGCTCCTCTGGCCACCCTCCCAATGGATTCCTGTGGTGCCCGGCGGGAATGGGCTGCTTGGGGACCCAGTGAGTTCCCAGGGCCTTTCTGCTGTTTCCTCTACCCCTGTATTTCACTCGGCTCTCTAACTTGACTCAGCTCCAGGTGAGGTCAGAAATTTCTCCGGCAAACAGACCTTCAGCTTCTACAATGGATGGGTGTGTTCAGGAGAGGAGGGTCTCCCTTTCCTACTTCTGCAATTGATGCACTTAGAGTATTTGGGGTGTTTGCCGAGAGCAATCCACTTCTTTCAGAGGGTATATGGGTCCTCTCGGGATTGCTGGTTTGTTCTTGCAGTAGATGTGGAGCTAAATCTCACAATGCAAGCCTCTCCATGCTGCCCTGTTTGGAGCTGCAATCTAGTCCTGCCTACTGCCTGCCATGATTTCCTAAATCTCCTTATATCTTTCTTCAGATATCCTTGAATTCTGAAAGTCTAAGTTTATTTGTTTGTTTGTTTGTTTGAAACAGGGTCTCATGCTGTCACCCAGGTTGGATTGCAGTGGTGCAATCATGGCTCACTGCAGCCTCATCCTCCTGGGCTCAAGCGATCCTCCCACCTTAGCCTCTCAAGTAGCTGGGCAAAACATATTATTTCAATGGAATCCTTAGAGAACATTAACAGAGTTCTACCTTGTAGTTGCATTATACATAGGGCACAAAACTGATTATTATTTAACAATAATTCCATTGGTTATCACTAGTGATTGTAATATGGAAACAAATTTCAGGTTGGACTATTGGTGACCTTTTATGCTTTTCTAACCATACCTTAAAAATGCTAGAGATGCTGGTGAGATTGTAGATAAAAAGGAAAACTTTTACACTGTTGGTGGGAATGTAAATTAGTTCAACCATCGTGGAAGATAGCGTGGTGATTCCTTAAAGACCTAGGGGCAGAAATACCATTTGACCCAGTAATCCCATTACTGGGTATATACCCAAGGGAATACAAATCATTCTATTATGAAGATACATGCATGCATATATTCATTGCAGCACTATTCACAATAGCAAAGTCATGGAATCAACCTAAATGCCCACCAATGATAGAATGGTTAAAGAAAATGTGGTACATATACACCAAGGAATACTATGCAGCCATAAAAAGAAATGAGATCATTTTATTTGCAGGTACATGGATGGAGCTGGAAGACATTATCTATAGCAAAGTAACACAGGAACAGAAACCAAACATCATATGTTCTCATTTATAAGTGGGAGGTGATTGATGAGAACACATGGAGACACTGGTGCGGAACAACACACACGGGGCACCTGTGTAGGGAGGGAGATGATCAGGAAGAATAGCGGATGGATGCTGGACTTAATACCTGGGTGATGGGATGATCTGTGCAGAAAACCACCATGGCACACATTTACCCATGGAACAAACATGCATGTCCTACACATTTACTTCTGAACTTAAACTTTGGGAAAAAAAAAAGAAATATATGTTACTACACTGGTAGATGTATAGAGTAATATATATTGCTACTTATACTTTTTATTTGAAGTAATCATATAATCCATTCATTAACTGAAATAAATTTATGTGCTCTTTTTTGTTATCTTTTAAAAAATGCTAGAGTTGTAATGTCTGTATTAATGACTAAAATATGCAAAAAAAAAGTGTGTATAAGTATCTTAGCTTAAAACTTTTAAATCAGGAAATTTAAAGGCCTATTGGCACTCTGAGGGTCCTTCCTCTGTGGACAATCATAGACAGTAGCAGACATGTTCTGTTTTCCTGTGTTGCTATGTGTAAGCCTCGGTGAGCAGCAGCTGGTCCTAAGACTCTTGTCTTCCTCCACAGACAGCGTGGAAGATGAACTGGAGATGGCCACCGTTAGACATCGGCCAGAGGCCCTTGAGCTTCTGGAAGCCCAGAGCAAATTTACCAAGAAAGAGCTTCAGATCCTTTACAGAGGATTTAAGAACGTAAGAACTTTCTTTTTGACTTTGTTTTTACACGATTCCCATAGGGGCATTGAGAAATGAGAGGAAAAGGGGGAAAATATCCCATTCTGTGAGAGCCCCATCGTATGTGTATTTCATACGATCCTTCCTAGATAGGAATATAGTCAATATCTGTGGGCTTTAACTCGAGGTGGTATATCCATGCTGGTATGCTATAATTGACAATTAAATGAAGAGAGGTGTTGAGAAAGGTTTATTCAATTCAATTCTTGGTTGGAATATTTTCTCTCTGTCAACTCTAATGACATAATTTCAATAAACTTCCATTTTTTAAAAAAATTTTTTAAATACAGGCTTGTGCTTGACTTGAGTCTTGAATATAGATTGAGGCCTATCAAGGGATTTCTTTCCTGGTAATGGAGAATAATTACTGTAACTTTTATAGTCCAAAAAACCGTGCTGCTGGCTGGGCGCGGTGGCTGACGCCTATAATCCCAGCACCCTGGGAGACCAAGGCAGGTGGATCACGAGGTCAAGAGTTTGAGACCAGCCTGACCAACATGGTGAAACCCCATCTCTACTAAAAATATAAAAACTAGCCAGGCTTCATGGCACATGCCTGTAATCCTAGCTACTCAGGAGGCTGAGGCAGGAGAATTGCTTGAACCTGGGAGTCAGAGGTTGCAGTGAGCCGAGATCACACCACTGCACTCCAACCTGGGTGACAGAGAGAGACTCTGTCTCAAAAAAAAAAAAAAAAAAAAAAAAGAAGAAGAAGAAAAACCATGCTGCCAGTCTCTCTAAACCACAGGTGTCTGCAGGTTATAACTACCTGGTTCCCTGTGATCCAGGTATGCAGATAACCCTCTCTCCTGGGTGAATCACCTTCAAAAGGGAATAAGAACCCAGAAAACACGAGAGGGTAGTATGAGAGAAAGAGAGTGGATCCAGGCAGTCTGTGAGACACAGTCTCTTACTGAATACTTTGTATGTGCTTAGGGTTAAACTGGTTGCTGCAGGTTACTCAAAGTCCAGATAAATACTTCTATCCTTAAGGACCTTATGGTCTGAATAGGGAGAGAAGACTTGCTGTGGTGAATCTATTTGAAAACAGTTCATCCTTAAAGGAATCAAATGTTTATGTATCAAACAGCATACACACCCCAACATATAGCTTATTCTTATACATATGGAAACCAAAGTAGCTACAGGCACCCTTGAAGATCCAAATTGCTTTGATCCCTTTTGAAACCCATTCCCTAACATTCCCAGTTCCATGCCATGTAGAAGTCTATGGTGGGTGTCCAAAGATTTCTTCTAATTCCATCCTCTTCACGTCTGACCACCACAGCTGCTGCCTTTGTTCAAACCTTATGCAGACCAGATAAGACACTCTGACTCTTCATTGGGAACACAACAACAATTTACTCAGAGAATTCATGCCAGTAGTTGACACTGCAGAATATTTTTATAGGGTTTCCGCATGCACAAGGCATACAAGTTTCCACCATCTGTCTGAATGAATGGGGTCTGTCTTTCTCCCATTTCTGCTCCTCACCCCCCTCTCCTTGCTGTGCCCTTTCTAAATTTTTCTCCCCCTATTATGCAGAGTAAATTTGTTTCTCCTCCAAAACTTGATCATCTGCAAAGACCTAGGCCTTTCTGGCAATAGACTGGGGCAGAGGGAATTATAATGGCGACGAGTGCTCATCGCATACACAGACCTCTGATTAAAAGAAATCTTGATGGGTAATCTATCAAGATAATGCATATAAATAAACATGCATGAAGAGAATACGGCTGGCTGGGTGCGGTTGCTCACACCTGTAATCCTACCACTCTGGGAAGCCGAGGTGGGTCGATCATGAAGTCAGAAGTTTAAGACCAGCTTGACCAACATGGTGAAAGCCCGCCTCTACTAAAAATACAAAACTTAGCCCAGGCATGGTGGCACATGCTTGTAATCCCAGCTACCTAGGAGGCTGAGGCAAGAGAATCCCTTGAATCCAGAAGGCAGAGGTTGCAGTGAGCCAAGATCGTGCCACTGTACTCCAACCTGGGAGACAGAGCAAGACTCCGTCTCAAAAAAAAAAAGAGAGAGAGAGAAAGAAAAGGGCTTTGAGAACTAGGAAAGAGGATGAGTAGTTATGCCTATTCTGCAATGGTTCCAGGTTTCAGAGACAGCAGGCATTTGCAGTGAAACAGCACTACTGACCACCGGCAGTAGAAAACCACTGAGCAGCAGGGAAAGAAAGGAAAGGAGATGTGAAAGACCAACCTGGGCCAAAAGTCAGTGCTCAGAGGAGGCTAATCACAAAATAAAACTTCAAATGTGTTTGTGCAAACACCTAAACTTCTTTGCTCTAATTCAGAGATCTAGTAATAAGCATAATTTTTTTTTTTCTTTTTAGCATTGGATTGTACATCAGATGCAAAATTGTTGTCGAACACAGGAGAACTGAATCCAGTCTCCCAGCATCACTGTATTCCTTGACCGTTGCCATGTTATTATTCCACTGCCATCCTCATAGGGTTTCTCTGGGGGTCTGGCTGCCTTTCATTGCATTTGCTATAAACTGGAATCATTATTACTGCCATTGTTAACCATTGGAGCCAGCATCTCTGCAGTGTGTCTAATACAAGTGGCACTTTACAATAAATTGCTGGGCTCTGAAGTCTGCATTCATTTTTTTATTTCATTTTATCTTACTTTATTTTATTTTTTTTGTTTGTTTTCCATGTGTCCTTCTCTTATTTCTTTTCTCTTCTTCCCCTCTTTTCCCAAACTCTTTCCTTTCCCTTTTCTTTTAATCCTTCTGACCTCACCTTTTATTTCTTCACTCCTCCTTTCTCTCCTTTTTTTTAATTCTTCTGTCTCTTTCCCTCGTGAATTATTGTCTCCTTTCAGCTCTTTGCCATCCTCCTCCTTTCCTATTTTTATCTTCTCTATCTTTATTGCTTTTTCTTTCTCCCTTCTCACCCCGCCCCATGAGACGCATTTCCATCAGACCTGAATATCCCCAAAGCCTATTTTATATACTTCTTTAAAAGAAAGGACTTTACAGTTTGCTCAGAAAATATTAATCGACATCTCTGATAAATCAAACATGACTGGCCTTTTAATTTTGATTTCCCCCTAGTCAAATGTACAATTCTAATAAATGAATCCTAAGCATAGCAAGAAATACACTAAGCAGGTCAACAGCACTTGGGCTTTAGAGCATGGTAGCAACTGAAGCAGTTTCCATCTGAGAAAGCAAACCAACTGCCCTTGGTTTCCTGAACACCAGTTATCTCAAAGCCCTTAAGATCACAAACTCATTTCCCTGGAAACAGTTGGGATATTCATTTTTAATGAAACATTTTAAAACTCTCCATACTTTGATTAAAAGGATAAACCATGCGTCAACATATTAAAATGGGCACACTTGTGTGAAAGTAGCTCAACATAGCCAGACACCCCTGCAAATAAATATTAGCAGCAGCATAACTCCACCATTTCTTTCCTTATATGGTATCTCTGATACATCCCCTTGCATTTTCAACACAAATTGTTAAAGTAAATTGGATATGAGAGGAAGGGAAGTTAGAGAAAAATCTCCTCCCTCACCTCATCTTACTCACTGAGGCCCCCACACATTTTTATGTCTCGTGCCAGATGCTGAGCTGAGTCTCCAAAGGTGAGCAGCTGATAGAGACAGAGAAGAATATATGACTGCTTGTCCATCTGTAATAAGCCTCAGAATCACCTGAAGGGCTTGTCAAGACACAGATTCCTGGGCCCCATCTTGAAAGCTTATGACTTAGTAGGGGTGTGATTGGGTCACAGAATTTGCATTTTTTTTTTTACAAGTTTCCAGGTGATGCTGATGCTGCTGGTCAGGAGAATCACTGGTTTTGTGCAGGCATCATAAGCTTTAGTGTCACTCAGACTCAGGTCACGTTACTTATTTGGGCAGTTCTCTCAGACCCAGGAGACCACATGTCTTTGTCTATAAACTGGCATCATGATAACTAGATCGCATTTTTTTTTTTTTGAGACAGAGTCTCCCTTTGTCACCTAGGCTGGATTGCAGTGACACAATCTTGGCTCACTGCAACCCCCGCCTCCCATGTTCAAGCGATTCTCCTGCCTCAGCCTCACAAGTAGCTGGTCTATAGGCACACATCACCATGCCCAGCTAATTTTTGTATTTTTAGTAGAGACAGGGTTTTACCATATTGGCCACGATGGTCTCGATCTCTTGACCTCATGATGCACCTGCCTCAGCCTCTCAAAGTGTTAGGATTGCAGGCGTGAGCCACCACGCCCAGCCAGATTGCATTTTTTAAAGAAATAAATATAATAAACATGAAGTTCAACTTAAAAAAAGTTATTATAGTATGGCCCCAAATGGTCAACCTCATTTGTATGTTCCATCAAAGTGGGACAGTCATGGTTGGCCTACATACCTACCAGGGAGTGTTTGAGTTTTGGACTACAGAATTATGTATTAGAAAGGATGCGGAAAATGCAAACTATTATCTACAGATCAGCAGTCTCAAACTTAAATGCATGTTGCAACCATCTGGGGAGCTTTACAAATTAAAAATAGTGGCTACTATGCTTGGTGATTCTGATGTAATTGCTCTTGGAAAAAGCTTAAGCATTAGGATTTACAAAGCTCTTCAAGTAATTATAATGTGCAGGCACAATTGAGAACCACTGAACTAGATATATAAGATAATACAGCTGCAATAGCTCATGCCTATTTTCCTAGCACTTTGGGATGCTAAGGTGGGCAGATCATGAGGTCAGGAGATCGAGACCATCTTGGCTAACATGGCGAAACCCCATCTCTACTAAAAATATAAAAAAATTAGCTGGGCATGATGGCACGCACCTGTAGTCCCAGCTATTCAGGAGGCTGAGGCAGGAGAATTGCCTGAACCCAGGAGGCGAAGATTGCAGTGAGCCAAGGTTGCGCCACTGCACTCCAACCTGAGTGACAGAGGAAGACTCTGTCTCAAAAAAAAAAAAA